GCTGCTTCTGCAGGTTCCCAGCTGGTCCAGCCCCTCCCGACAGAAGCCAGCCTGGGAGCCAGACGCAAACACCGTCCCCTGTGGCCCCTGCCCTGGGCTGCGTTGCTGTGGTTCTGAAACGTTGGTGGAAGTAATTAAGATTTCAGCAGGCTGAGTGAGTTTTGCTTAATCTTCAGCCAGTAATTAAACCTGAACGGAACTTGGGGCCGTCTGACTGCTGGGCAGCGGGTCCCCGCGTACCTCCTCCCTGTGCCCGTGACCCTGTTGGGTGGGGTCCTTACCTTTCAGTGCAGGTTTCAGACTGAAGGCCCCATAAGGGGTCTGAGGCCCAGCGCTTCCCACGGCTGAGACCAGGGTCGGTCGCAGGGACAGGGGCTGAAGACGTCACATCACTGCGGGGCAGGGGGAGTCAGGCCAGTGACCCCTCCACGTGGAAGGGCCTCCCCGCCAGAACGAGGTCCCAGCAGACGTGGAGCCCACCTGAGGCAGGGTCCCCTCAGATGAAAGAGCTGGGCAGCTGGCTCTGGTCCCATCCTTCCGAGGGCGCCCGCTGCCCACCCACCCGCTCTGCGCCTTCTGAAAAAGGAGGGCTGCCTGGTGCCGGAGCACTGACCGTGCGCCAAGCATGGTGACTCGGCTCTTTGATCCGCACGGCAACCCCCGCTACCTCCTCCTTCAGCAGAGGGGAAGCTGCGCAAACCGAGATGCCGCATGCCAGGCCCGCCGAGCAGAAGGGCAGCGCCAGCACCTGCACGTGGCCTTCCCGCCCCGGGTGCTGTGTCCTCGCTGCTGCTCCGCCCATCCCCACGGCCGCCAGGTCTCTGTCTCTTGGTTGGCAAGTTCTCGGTCTTGCCTTCCTGGGAGGCCTGTCCCCCCAGCTCTGACTTCAGAGCAGAAAGGACCCTGTTCACCAGCGCCCGCCCAGTGCACTGCCCTCTCCAGCTTCACTCACCCCGAGCATCCTCAGTCTTCTCCCACACCTGCAGCGGGAGACACGTCCCCTAACCCTGTCCGTGCACACAGATGGCGCGAGTGTGATTCTCACGTGAGGCTTCCACGGACTGGACTGGCTGGGCCCCGGGTAGGTGTGTGTCCTAGGCACTGAGCTGTAGTGGGAAGAACAGAGCTTAGGGGTCACGCAGACGTGGGAGGCGCCTCTTCTCGTGCCCGCATTGTTTGTGTACGTGTGTGCGTGCGTGCACCTGGTGTCAGGTCTCCCCGACAGCCGTCCATAGCCAGCAGGCTCATGGCGGAGGCAGCATGCTCTGGGGCCTCCTGTAAGAAGCACCGCCCCTCCTGCAGTGCCGCAGTGCATGCGGGGAGGATGCTGTTTGTGGCGACTTGCGTTGCCACGGTGACAGCTGGGTTAGGGGAGACTTTTGCCTGGGGAGCACACACATCCTCCCCGGCTGCTCCATTTGCAGGGCAAGGCTTGGAGACACAGCCAGGACAAACTCGTGTTCCACCCCATCCGTCTCCCCTGAAGGCCTCCCTGTCAGCCCTGCTTCTCTCTCACGCACACGCACACGCACGCGCATCCCTCTTGCACCTGGACCAGACCCTGCTCTGCAGGAGCTGAGAAGCAGGGACACCAGGCCCCCAGCCATGGGGAGAGGAGTGAGGGCCCGGGCGGCAGCTGAGTCAGCCCCCCAGCGTGGGAGGAAGGGCGGTGCTGCTGGCCTCAGAGGTGGGGGGTGAGTTCTCTTGCAAATGCAACTTATTCATATTTTAAGCTAAACAACGTAAAGACTGGCTTCTGGGATCAGGGGTGTGAGTGCCAAGTTGTCCCGCTTCCCCTGCACGGGGTCTGGGGCCCTGGCGCCTGGGAGGCCTTTCCTCGCTTGCCTGTCAGCCCTCTCCTCCTGGGGCTCGCGGCACCCCCGGGGGCGGGCCTGTCACCTGAGGATCTGGACACAGCCAGACTTCTCAGGGGCCCTCACCACCATCCTCATCTGGGCCGAGCCTTCCAGGAGCGGGGACATGCCCAAGATGGCCACCAGGGGGCGCTGCCGGGGCACAGCGGGAGCCGTGGGGTGGCTTCTGCAGAACAATCCAGACCTGGGGCAGAGAACAGAGCCAG